GTATTTTGTTTAATTTTGATCAATTTTGTGAATAATTATTGTACTTTTATATTTAGTTTCTATGATATTCAATTTTATTAAAGCTTTATATGGTTCTATAATATTCATTTTTATTATTCGCTGAAACAAATAACGGCAAATTTAATCTAATAAAAATGAGTTTTGATTGAAAACACCACAAACTTAAAAAACATATTCTATCAAAAATCACTCAGACAACAATTCAATGATGAGTCTCTGAATTATGTCCGCAAATGGTCCGCATATGCAAACCAATTTTCTTGAAAAATGTGAAGTCGTTTGATTTTCTAAGATCGTAAGGGAACTTCGAAGTTGCAAATTCAAATTTACATTTAAAACTAGTTCTAAGAAACATCTCTAAACTATATATTTTTTTTAAAATGATATTTTACATTTGGAGCATCTCCCAATTTACGCATGGAAATTTTGGAATCAAAAATTACCTCTACCTAAATTTTATTTTTTAAGTCCTTTTTTTTTCTTTTAGTATGACTTAACAAGATAGATAGTTGTCATTGGATGTCAATGCATCTTATATTTTTTCTTTTAATTTTTAGTTTCTTTCAACAAGATTTTCAATTTTTATCTAAAATTGCATTTCAATTTTATTTAATGTGTTAAAAGAATAAAATAAAATTACAAGGCGAATCCAAAAAGAATTTGAATTTGCAATGTATTAAAAAGTTACATATAACACTCTTGGTAAAATATTACTCCCTCTTTTTTTATAAGAGACAAATTCCTTTTTATAAAAGACCACAAATCAGTTTTTAAGGTTAATTGAATAACCAATGTATATGATATTTAGAGACTAAATACATTCACTCTTTAATAAACCTAAAAAGTAAATTATCTTTTATAAAAAAGAGCGGAGGTAGTATTAATTTTTATACACTTAATGTATTTCTAATAGAATAGAGGTTATTAATTTTTATACACTTAATGTATTTCTAATAGAATAGAGGTTAAAATGAATGAAGAGTAGTTCAACATTGTATTGAAATTTAAGCTAACCAGCAAGCAATTAATGAACTTTTCATACAGAACATCTACCTTTAACTATTAAAATTTTCAAAAAAAAAACTTTCTTAATACCACATAAAGAATCAACAATTGGTTGCATGTATCTATCTTGTCAAAATAGAGCACACCACAGTATAGAACTATACAGAAAAAATATTAAGCAGTAGAGATAAAACTAATCAGACAACGCCAGAACAGAGACTCCAATATCCATTAGCAGATAGAGAAAACTATACCAACGAAACATAATAAAAATGTGTAATTTCAAAGCATACCAAAAATGAGAAAGTTCAAGGCAAATAATAACAATACGGGCAAACAACCGTAGATGCAACCAATCATGCAACCAATCATTCCAACCACAAGTATTCAACCCAACAGGTTACCATCGAGACCACAGACTAAACAAGACAAAACCATATCGATCCAGACATAACAGTATCATTGATTCAAGTCATAAACTAAGTGTGATTACCTAGAAATATTTAGCAAACACCTTAACATATTCATCTATTGATGTAAATGAAATTGATTAGCATGGAGGTAACTGAATATAACTGAAGTGTGATTAAGGTAAGAGTAATGCATCATAAGAAAATTCAGATTCCATATGGACAACATTGCTGGTTGATACGCCATTCATTCATTCATTCAGAATGGCAACACACCCCAACAATTACTAATAGAGTAGTCAATCACAAATAACACCACAGAGCGGCCAACCTCAAAAATGGGATTGAAAAGGATAGCTTATGGCAGGATGGCCGCTATTTGATCATTTTTCAGACAAATTACGTGATTTATAAATATATGAAGTGCAGAGGGAAGAACAAAGTGCAGAGAAAGGTGAGGGAGGAACTTGTGATTTTTCTATGGAACGGGTGAAGTGTTAAAACATCATTGAAAGAATGTGAGTGAGGACAGAGTCTCAACTCAAATTTGATTGAAAAAATAAACTATAGTGAGACATAAACTACTCTGGACCGGGAAGCAGGATAGCACCACTATTGACTACTCTAATCACTATCCATAATTATTGCAGCATTCCACCATTTTCAAAGTTCACATAAGGAGAAATCTT